AATGCTTTTGGTGTTTTGTTCATGAAGTCCTTGCCTACTCCTATGTCCTGGATAGTTTTGCCTAGATTTCCTTCTAGGGTTTTATTGTGCCAGGTCTTATGTTTAAGTCTTTAATCCATCTGGAGTTAATTTTAGTGTAAGGTGTCAGGAAGGGGTCCAGTTTCTGCTTTCTGCACATGGCTAGCCAGTTTTCCCAACACCATTTGTTAAACATGGAATCCTTGCCCCATTGCTTGTTTTTGTCAGGTTTATCAAAGATTGTATAGTTGTATGTATGTTGTGTTGCCTCCGGTGCCTCTGTTTTGTTCCATTGGTCTATATCTCTGTTTTGGTACCAGTACCATGCTGTTTTGATTACTGTAGCCTTGTAGTATAGTTTGAAATCCGGTAGTGTGATGCCCCCCGCTGTGTTCTTTTTGCTTAGAATTGACTTGGCTATGCGGGCTCTCTTTTGGTTCCATATGAAGTTCATGGTGGTTTTTTCCAGTTCTGTGAAGAAAGTCAATGGTAGCTTGATGGGGATAGCATTGATTCTGTAAATTACTTTGGGCAGTATAGCCATTTTCACGATATTAATTCTTCCTAACCATGAACATGGAATGTTTCTCCATCTGTTTGTGTCCTCTCTGATTTCGTTGAGCAGTGGTTTGTAGTTCTCCTTGAAGAGGTCTCTTACGTTCCTTGTGAGTTGTATTCCAAGGTATTTTATTCTTTTTGTAGCAATTGCGAATGGCAGTTCGCTCTTGATTTGGCTTTCTTTAAGTCTGTTATTGGTGTAGACGAATGCTTGTGATTTTTGCACATTGATTTTATATCCTGAGACTTTGCTGAAGTTGTTTATCAGTTTCAGGAGTTTTTGGGCTGAGGCAATGGGGTCTTCTAGGTATACTATCATGTCGTCTGCAAATAGAGACAATTTGGCTTCCACCTTTCCTATTTGAATACCCTTTATTTCTTTTTCTTGCCTGATTGCTCTGGCTAGAACTTCCAGTACTATATTGAATAGGAGTGGTGAGAGAGGGCATCCTTGTCTAGTGCCAGATTTCAAAGGGAATGCTTCCAGTTTTTGCCCATTCAGTATGATATTGGCTGTTGGTTTGTCATAAATAGCTTTTATTACTTTGAGATACGTTCCATCGATACCGAGTTTATTGAGGGTTTTTAGCATAAAGGGCTGTTGAATTTTGTCAAATTCAACGCCTTCTCTGCGTCAATTGAGATAATCATGTGGTTTTTGTTTTTGGTTCTGTTTATGTGGTGAATTACGTTGATAGACTTGCGTATGTTGAACCAGCCTTGCATCCCCGGGATGAATCCTACTTGATCATGATGAATAAGTTTTTTGATTTGCTGTTGCAATCGGCTTGCCAATATTTTATTGAAGATTTTTGCATCTATGTTCATCATGGATATTGGCCTGAAGTTTTCTTCTCTCGTTGGGTCTCTGCCGGGTTTTGGTATCAAGATGATGTTGGTCTCATAAAATGATTTGGGAAGGATTCCTTCTTTTTGGATTGTTTGAAATAGTTTTAGAAGGAATGGTACCAGCTCCTCCTTGTGTGTCTGGTAGAATTCGGCTGTGAACCCGTCTGGACCTGGGCTTTTTTTGTGAGGTAGGCTCTTAATTGCTGCCTCGACTTCAGACCTTGTTATTGGTCTATTCATAGTTTCAGCTTCCTCCTGGTTTAGGCTTGGGAGGACACAGGAGTCCAGGAATTTATCCATTTCTTCCAGGTTTACTAGTTTATGCGCATATAGTTGTTTGTAATATTCTCTGATGATGGTTTGAATTTCTGTGGAATCTGTGGTGATTTCCCCTTTATCATTTTTTATTGCATCTATTTGGTTGTTCTCTCTTTTCTTTTTAATCAATCTGGCTAGTGGTCTGTCTATTTTGTTGATCTTTTCAAAAAACCAGCTCTTGGATTTATTGATTTTTTGAAGGGTTTTTCGTGTCTCAATCTCCTTCAGCTCAGCTCTGATCTTAGTAATTTCTTGTCTTCTGCTGGGTTTTGAGTTTTTTTCATCTTGCTCCTCTAGCTCTTTCAATTTTGACGATAGGGTGTCAATTTTGGATCTCTCCATTCTCCTCATATGGGCACTTATTGCTATATACTTTCCTCTAGAGACTGCTTTAAATGTGTCCCAGAGGTTCTGGCACGTTGTGTCTTCATTCTCATTGGTTTCGAAGAACTTCTTTATTTCTGCCTTCATTTCGTTGTTTACCCAGTCAACATTCAAGAGCCAGTTGTTCAGTTTCCATGAAGCTGTGTGGTTCTGGGTCGATTTCTGAATTCTGAGTTCTAACTTGATTGCACTATGGTCTGAGAGTCTGTTTGTTATGATTTCAGTTGTTTTGCATTTGTTGAGCAGTGCTTTACTTCCAATTATGTGGTCAATTTTAGAGTAGGTGTGATGTGGTGCTGAGAAGAATGTGTATTCTGTGGATTTGGGGTGGAGAGTTCTGTAAATGTCCACCAGGTTTGCTTGCTCCAGGTCTGAGTTCAAGCCCTGGATATCCTTGTTGATTTTCTGTCTGGTTGATCTGTCTAGTATTGACAGTGGAGTGTTAAAGTCTCCCACTATTATTGTGTGGGAGTCTAAGTCCTTTTGTAAGTCATTAAGAACTTGCCTTATGTATCTGGGTGCTCCTGTGTTGGGTCCATATATGTTTAGGATCGTTAGCTCTTCTTGTTGTATCAATCCTTTTACCATTATGTAATGGCCTTCTTTGTCTCTTTTGATCTTTGTTGCTGTAAAGTCTATTTTATCAGAGATGAGAATTGCAAGTCCTGCTTTTTTTTGCTTTCCATTAGCTTGGTAAATCTTCCTCCATCCCTTTATTTTGAGCCTTTGTGTATCCTTGCATGTGAGATGGGTTTCCTGGATACAGCACACTGATGGGTTTTGGCTTTTTATCCAATTTGCCAGTCTGTGTCTTTTGATTGGTGCATTTAGTCCATTTACATTTAGGGTTAATATTGTTATGTGTGAATTTGATACTGCCATTTTGATGCTAAGTGGCTGTTTTGCCTGTTAGTTGTTGTAGATTCTTCATTATGTTGAAGCTCTTTAGCTTTCAGTGTGATTTTGGACTGGCTGGTACTGGTTGATCCTTTCTATGTGTAGTGCCTCTTTTAGGAGCTCTTGTAAAGCAGGCCTGGTGGTGACAAAATCTCTGAGTACTTCCTTGTTCGCAAAGGATTTTATTCTTCCTTCACTTCTGAAGCTCAGTTTGGCTGGATATGAAATTCTGGGTTGAAAGTTCTTTTCCTTAAGGATGTTGAATATTGGCCCCCACTCTCTTCTGGCTTGTAGGGTTTCTGCCGAGAGATCTGCTGTGAGTCTGATGGGCTTCCCTTTGTGGGTGACCCGACCTTTCTCCCTGGCTGCCCTTAGTATTTTCTCCTTTATTTCAACCCTGTTGAATCTGACGATTATGTGCCTTGGGGTTGCTCTTCTTGCGGAATATCTTTGTGGTATTCTCTGTATTTCCTGCAATTGAGTGTTGGCTTGTCTTGCTAGGTGGGGGAAATTTTCCTGGATGATGCCCTGAAGAGTATTTTCTAGCTTAGATTCATTCTCTTCGTCCCCTTCTGGTACACCTATCAAACGTAGGTTAGGTCTTTTCACATAGTCCCACATTTCTTGGAGACTTTGTTCATTCCTTTTTGCGCTTTTTTCTCTGATCTTGGTTTCTCGTTTTATTTCATTGAGTTGGTCTTCGACTTCAGATATTCTTTCTTCTGCTTGGTCAATTCGGCTATTGAAACTTGTGTTTGCTTCGCGAAGTTCTCGTATTGTGTTTTTCAGCTCCTTTAATTCATTCATATTCCTCTCTAAGGTATCCATTCTTGTTATCATTTCCTCGAATCTTTTTTCAAATCTTTTTTCAAGGTTCTTAGTTTCTTTGCATTGATTTAATACATGATCTTTTAGCTCACAAAAGTTTCTCATTATCCATCTTCTGAAGTCTAATTCCGTCATTTCGTCACAGTCACTCTCCGTCCAGCTTTGCTCCCTTGCTGGTGAGGAGTTTTGGTCCTTTCTAGGAGGCGAGGTGTTCTGGTTTCAGGTGTTTTCCTCCTTTTTGCGCTGGTTTCTTCCCATCTTTGTGGATTTGTCCGCTGGTCGTCTGCGTAGTTGCTGACTTTTCGTTTGGGTCTCTGAGTGGACACCCAGAATGTTGATGATGAAGTATTTCTGTTGCTTGGTTTTCCTTCTACCAGTCTAGCCCCTTCGCTGTACGACTGCTGAGGTCCGCTCCAGACCCTGCTTGTCTGGGGTGCACCTCTAGTAGCTGTGGCACAGCGAGGGATGCTACCAGTTTCTTTTTCTGCTCTCTTTGTCCCAGGATGATGCCTGCCTAATGTCAGTCTTTTGGATATAGAGGGGTCAGGGAGCTGCTTGAGGAGACAGTTTGTACTCTGTAGGGGTTTAATTGCTGAGCTGTGCACTCTGTTGTTCATTCAGGGCTGTTAGGCTGCTATGTTTTATTCTGCTGCAACAGAGCTCATTAAAAAACCCCTTTTTTTTTTTTTTTTTTTATAAAATGAGGTGTGTTGAGGGGTTTGGGCTTTATTTTTGAATGTCCGATCAGGTGTCCTGCCCAGCTAGAAGGCAGATTAGCCACTGTTTGGCTGCCGAGGCTCCGCCCTGCTGTTGTGTGATTCGCGCAGTTCCTGCCGGCTCTGCTGTGGTCTCCGCCACGCCCTGCGGCGGAGTCTCTTCGTTGTAGCGTGTTGCCTCAGCAACGACAGGCTGCGTCAGCAGTGGGCGTGTATCTCAGTAGGGACGGGTTGCCTCGGCAACGGCTGGCTGCGTCACAGTGGGCGTGTATCTCAGTTGGGGCGGGTTGCCTCGGTAGTGGTGGACACCCCTCCCCCACAGAGCGTCTCGGACCGTCGTATGCAGATTCAACGAGAAGAGCTACAATCCTGGGTTGTTCTCACAGCGCCATCTTGAGTCCTCTCTTTCTTTTTTTTTTATATACACTTCAGTCCCCATGGAGACTGCCAAAAATTTCCAGTGCTGGCTAAATTTCACCTCGTCCTAGTGGGGTATTGGGGAAAGTTTTCAATTTTATTAATTGCGCCTCGGATAAACCTCATTGACTATGATAGTGCCACGGCACAAAGCTGCAAATCTATACTTTCTAGTGTGCATTGAATTTATTACTGTAATATATTATGGCTTATGGTTCAGAATCTTCCATACTAATTATCTGTTTTTACTTGCCTGATACTTATGTTAGACCCATGACTTTCTTGTTTATTATATATATTTTGTTTTGTAGGTTACAAAGTACTAAGTTTGTGAGCTGCTCTGTGATTATAAAAATGATTTTAGTGAAATTTAGTCATGGCCAGACACAGTGGCTCATACTTGTAATCCCAGCACTTTGGGAGGCCAAGGTAGACATACCAACTAAGGTCAGGATTTTGAGATCAGCCTGGCCAAAATGGTGAAACCCCATCTCTACTGAAAATACAGAAATTAGTGAGGCGTGGTGGTGCATACTTGTAATTTCAGCTATTCAGGAGGGTGAGGTAGGAGAATAGCTTTAACCCAGGAGATGGAGTTTGCAGTGAGCCAAGATTGCACCACTGCCATCTAGGCTGGGTGACAGAGGAAGATTCTCAAAAAAGAAAGAAAAAGAAAAAAAATTTAGTTATGCACACAAAATAATTTTAGCTGTAATTTCCAAAATTAGTATATTAAATTTTATTTAGTTGGAACATTCAGTTTTGTTCTTTCCTTTGGAGAACCCTATATAAGCCTACTTTTCCTAAGTTATTTTTTTCACTTTGTATAATAGACATGAGTAAATGTATTTATTGATTGGGTCAATTTGTTTGGGTAAGTACTAAGGGAGCTTCAGAAGCCATGAGAATGTTTTTACAATAAATGTGGCAGTGCTTGCTGTGTAACTGATGCTCCATAGTAAGGCACAAATTTGTCTGGTTTAATTTAGTTTGTAACTTCACGTTTGAGGTAGAAAATATCAAAGGTAAACAAGTAAGATTTTATTCTTCATGTTGAGAGGACATTTTTTCCAGGCTACAAAGCTGAATTTTGTTGAATTTAAAAAGAAATTCAGCTGTATTTATTTCCTAATTATCTTAAGTTTCCTTTGTCATTTTATGTGTATTCCAGTCGTGGATACATCATAGCCCTTCTTCTTTTTCTGTGTTAATGGCTACAGTTTTTTCACGCTATGTCATTTCACATGGCATCTTGAGGGTTTTGATCAGAACTTTGGTGTTTTCTAATGCCCTGAAGAACTGGTTTCAAGTGGAGAGTGTGCTTATAAATATAACTTTCAGATCATTTAAGATAAGGGCATACACTGTCCACAGGTGAGAGGGGTAAATCAGTTAGCATGGTGCTTCATTGCTTGTATAGAGAAAGGCTCACTAGATTCTTACCCAAAGTGAGAGAAATAGAAAATTTTCTAGAAAATATATCATAGAAATTAAAGTTTTAAGAGAGTTTATGGTAAGCGAACCATAATAAATTGTTATTTTTTTTTCTTAGATGAAGTTTTGCTCTGTCAGCCAGGCTGGAGTGCATTGGCACAATATGGGATCTGTGCAACCTACTTCACCCAGGTTCCAGGGATTCTTCCACATCAGCCTCCTGAGTAGTTGGAATTACAGCCACCCTCCATCATACCTGGCTACTTTTTACATTTTTTTTCCTAGAGATGGAATTTCACCCTGTTGGCCAGGTTGATCTTGAACTCCTGACCTTAGGTTATCCTCCTGCCGTGACCTTCCAAAGTGCTGGGATTACAGGTGTGAGCCTCCTCGCCTAGGTTAAATTTAATTTCTTATGGTATAGCACACCTTGCACTTCCAGGCAGAATCTTCTGTTTTTACATGTGAATGTTAAAGGTTGCAAAACAATAAAATGACTTCTATATATTTGGAATAATATTTCCTTTTTCATATTGATATTTCAATGTTCAGGAATTTCTCTTGTTTTACAAATTTTATTTTAGTGGATGAAAGTTAGTCTACAGTTTTATTCTTAGACACCTAAGTGTAACCCCAATTATTTTCTCTGGAAAACTTTTGACAATCATGGCAGCTTTTAAATTAAAATGTTTTTTGTTATTGTTCATGTAAATTAGTTTACTGTGTTCACAGCGTGGTCAGTCATGGGACCGTAAGTAACACTTGCCTTTTTAGTGTCTTTCTTTCCATTACCATTAGCACCAGAAACCCCAGGTGCTCCAAGCTTCAAATAAAGGACTAAAGTACATTGGCTCCTCCGATGCACTGTGTTGGGTTTGAAACTTGCTGTCAAGCATCAAAGTTCCTATGGTTATGACTGATAAGTGACAGAAGCAGCACAAACATTATTTTTATACTCTTCAGCCAAGTTTATGATGAAGACATAGACATGATTTTAAATATTGTCATCTTTTCACAAGTTTTAAAAGTATATTCTCCAACTTGAAAAAATGTGTATTTTTTTTATAAAACAACATTTTGAAGTGTATACACATGGTCAAATGCTTAGCTCTAGGTCCAGCTAATTGTTGTAGAAATGGGGTTTCACCAGGTTGTCCAGAAAGGTCTCAATCTCTTGACCTTGTGATCTGCCCACCTCTGCCTCCCAATGTGCTGGGATTACAGATGGGAGCTACCGTGCCTGGCCTGTTTATAAAAATTTTTATTAATTATGTCACTGATATTTTTATTGAGGTTGCATTATATCTGTAGATCATTTTGTGTAATAAAAATATTTAAAAATAATGGCAGTTCAGTTAAATGTATTTCAAAGTATAGTTACTACAGTTATGGTAGATGAAATTGTTTTTTAAATTTATTTTGAGATAGTTGTTAGTTTATAAAAATGCTACTCATAGGCCAGGAGTTGTGACTCACATCTGTAATTCCAGCACTTTGGGAGGCCAAGATGGGCAGATCATGATGTCATTAATTCAAGAACAGGCTGGCCAATATGGTGAAACCCTGTCTTTAGTAAAAATATAAAAATTAGCCCAGCGTGATGGTGCATGCCTGTAATCCCAGCTACTTGGGAGGCTGAAGCAGGAGAATTGCTTGAACCTAAAAGACAGAGGTGGCAGTCAGCTGAGATCATGCCACTGCACTCCAGCCTGTGCAACAGAGCTAGACTTCATCTCAAAAAATAATAATAACAATATTTATAATAAATAGTTCTAAGAAATCTGGTTCGTCTTATGCAGAAAAGAGTGGACTCCTTATCTTTCCATATAGAAAATATAAGGCAAGATATATTATTGACTGATTTGTGAGTCTTTAAGCTACAAATTTCTATGAGAATACTTAGAAACTACTCTTCTAAACACTGGCCTCTGGAATGAATTTCTGAATAACATGTTAAAACTGAGTAAAACAGAATAAAAATCAAAACTGCATCTAATTAAAGAGCTGCACAGCCAAAGAAACTATCCACAAAGTAAACAGACACTCTGTAAAGTATTTCCAAACTTCATACAAGTGATTAATATATGGAATCTATGCAAGAATTAATCTTAAAAATCAGAAAAATGATATAGATACTTCTCAAAAACATGAGTTGCCAATAAATAAGAAATGCTTAACATCAAATCATTAGAGAGATGTAAATCAAAATGACAAAGTAATACCATTTTACACCAGGTAGAATGGCGGTTGTTATAAGTCACAAAATATCATGTTGACATTGTGGAGAAATAGGTTTTATTATAAATGTTGATGGGAATGCAATAAAATTTAGCCCCTGTGGAAAGCAGTTTGGGGATTTCTCAAAGAACTGAAAATAGAGTTGTCATGTAACTCATCAGCCTCACCACTGCCAAAGGAGAATGAATTATTTTGCCAGGAAGACACCTGCACTCAGACGTTTATTGTAGCAAAATTCACAATAGCAAAAGACATAGAATTAAACAGCGTGTTTAGAAATCTTAAGTTGGATAAGGAAAGTGAGGTACTTCTACAGCATGCAATACTGTACAGCCACAGAAAGAATGAAGTCACGACCTTTGCACAACATGAGTGGAGCAGAAGGTCATTGCTATAAGCAAATTAGCAGATCAGTGAAACAAACAGCACATTTTTAACTTATTATATGTGTGGAGGTATAAATTGGGTACAGATGGAAACAGATGAATATAAACATGAAAAAGATAAAACTAAATGTCTAAACAGATGGAAGAACAAAGGGAGACAAGAATTGAAAAACTACTTTCAGGTGTGATGCACACTACTTTGTTACTCTTTGGTGAAAAGTGGTAGGTGATTTCATCACATTTTCTTAAGAATAAACCATTTTTGAAAATATGAGGCTGTAAAAATTATGCTAAATTATTGAGTTAAAACATTCTTTTAATAAAAGCATAGAAGTTTTGTGACCATAGCCCAAGAATGATGAAACAATGGGTGGGTTAAGCCCACGCTGATGCAGTCATTCCATCACCGTCATTCTCATCAAAAAATAATAGATCAAAAGAATTTTTAGAATAATTTTTTTGATTCTATCAAAGTGCTAAATTCTTATTTGCTTCATTTTTTTTTCTTTTTTGAGATGGAGTTTCACTCTTGTCACCCAGGCTGGAGTGCAATGGCACAATCTGGGCTCATTGCAACCTCCGCCTCCCGGGTTGGCCTCAAACTCCTGACTTCAAGATATTCACATGCCTCTGCCTCCAAAAGTGTTGGGATCATAGGTGTAAGCCACCCTGCCTGGCACAAAATTCTTATATTAAAAACATCTCCAGCAATTTAATAGGCCTGAGATTTGGAAAAAGAAAAAGTGGTTGAGTCATCATTTATTAATATGAGGTTAAACTAGAAAATTATAAATATATTGTAAAGAAAATTAGATAACATTAGTTAACTTTCTCCAAACTTAATATGATTAAAACAGGACTTCTGGGCATTTAGACACAAAATTGGCAGAGCACAGTGGCTCACTCCTGTAATCTCAGCACTTTGGGCAGCTGAGATGGGTGGATCATGAGGTCAGGAGTTTGAGACTAGTGTAGCTATTATGGTGAAACCCCATCTCTACTAAAAATAGAAAAATTAGCCAGTCATGGTGGCAAGCACCATGTAGTCCCTGTTACTCAGGAGGGTGAGGCAAGAGAATCGCTTAAACCTGGGAGGC